TTTGCGGCCGTCGCGAAATATTAGTCCTTTTTTATGATTTAAAGTGGAACTAAGCGCTTCTATTGCCGTTCTACGGAAACCGAACGAGCGTCGATCATTTCCAGTCCGGCGGTCTGCGGACTGAGCTCGGCAAAAATGGAACTTTAATCTCTACTCTCTCGATCCAACCCAGTACCGCGACGTAACCGAGTAAAATAGCGAAGAAACCGATTGAAAGAAAGACATAACGACTGGTAAATACGTGCGACGATTCGCTACCCGGTCGACTGCGCGCGCATCCCGCGGGCGCGTGGCTTCCGCCATCTTGAAAATTTTACAACGATTTTTAGTAATCACATATCAGGGAAAAAAACTCGCCCTGGGTATAACAAGGCGTAAAGATGGGATTGAATATTAATAAAGATTAATTATGTACTATAGAATATGCATTTCATCTCCAGTATGTACCTATTGCCACAATAATATAGTATCATTCTGACTATCTACGCGCGCATCTGCCATCTATAAATCTTTCTTGCGAACTTGTCGCGTTATTTTTGGTTATCAATAGTAATTCATGTAGTACAATAGCACTGGATGTAGCAAGAGGTGCAAGGATAGAGTTAGATTTTGATATTAGGGGATATGTATCATATGTTTAGCCATTAGAACCCAAATTAATGCTCATGCGGCGACATCCCGACCGGCTGCCATTTTTCAAGTTCTCCGCGATATCGCGACGCATTATTCCGAATAATTATATTCCTTAGCAATGCGTTCACTCGAAACGCGGTAGAAACCATTTTTTAAAATACGCTTCGAATGAAGCTGGATTATGGTAAAAGCTAAGTATCCCTAAGTATGTTCTATCTTTAATAATTATTACCCGTAGCGACGCTTCAACCAACAACGCGTGCCACCACCTTTGAATTTTTCTCACCGATCCCGTCGCATTCCACAAAGACATTCCCCCGCGGAAGAATATTTCCACTGGAAGCAACAACAAAACCACATTTCCACATCATTCCGACGAGCTGATTGCAGCAACACTCGCGACACAAAATACTGGAAGAAACAACGAAACAACGTATTACCGACACACGTCGCATCTCGCATCCTCACGTGGTGGCGTCTCGATCACTCCGGCGCGCATCCGCCATCTTTAAACTCCTTCCCTCAGCACGCTTCGCGTAATTACAATTAATCCACTAAATACAAACTTCAGCGTCTCCCTAATCCCACCAAAAACTGAATCATTCAACGATCATTGAACTCCATTCCTCCATTCCACCTCCCCGAAGTTCGGTCTATAAAAGAAAAAAGAAAAGAAAAAAGAAACGATCAACTCAACGCCCCACATTTCTCAAGTAAAACCACAGGGTGCCCTTCCTTCGAGGACGCTTCCGCATTTCTGCCGGGTTTAACGTCCGGATTATCAGGAAACTATTTGGAAGTGATATAAAGCGAATAACGGTGCCGATTCGCATAAAATTCGCTGCAACTGCGTGAGTATGTCGCGCGTACTGTCGCGGTTAAGTGCCACGGCGCTCTCGTTCACCCGCCTCGGTCCTTCTCTCTCTTTCTCTCCTTCTCTCTCTTTCTCTCCTTCTCTCTCCGCGGTGCCGCGAAGTACGCAAAAAGAACGGAAAAAAAAGAGCCTCGTATAAACGTAGCGTGATACCGATTGCAGAGTGTGCGAATGCGGCGAACTTGCCCTACGGTAAAGGTGTGGGTGCACACGCGGAAGATTGCGCGTGTACGCCGAGCGTGTACCAAGCATAGGCGGCGACGCTCAACAATGCTCGACGCGGGATAATGTAGCTACATTATTCAGGACAAAATATTCCCCAGGGCCGACAGCTTCCAGAAGTTGACCCTACGATGTTTCTCACTGCAACCCACGGGGATTTTCACGTTTATTTAATTCCACTGATAGATTTTCATTGATCGTTTCCGCTCGATTTAAGATGAAGTAAAACACGTCGAGGAACTTGATCGACGTCGATAAAGAAGATTTTTCTAAATGCCTACGTTGCTGACGTTGATTTTTATATTGACAGCTCTCGAATTATATTGGATATTGTACCAAATGGCATACTCCACCTGTCGTTTTCCTACAATAAATATCAAGAAATCGAAGTAAAACTCCAGAAATCCTCTGGATTCATGCTTTCTGGAGGCCTAATTGACTGTAGAGGGACACCCTGCGCCATCTGTGATTTCCAGGTCAATTAAACTTTCACTCCGAGACCTCTTATTCCCATCGTTTTAGCATAAAAGCGCATACAACACTTTTTTTTGCCTTTATCCCGTTCAAATGCGAGTTTATCGATTACCAGAGTGTTCTAAATTGTCGTAAAATTGTCCTGACCCTATAGTTTCTCATATCAGGGCCTTCGATAATTGTATATTGATCGAAATATGAGACCTCGACGCCATTTTGGTTCTGGTCTGGGCCCAGTTAACAAATTTTTTCCAAAAATCCAAATTTGAATGTGTCAGGACAATTCTTAGATGATCAGGAGTGATGTGTCAGTTTCGGACAGTTTGGTCTAATACCCTTAAAAAAGTGTTGTATTCAAATCGACTGATTTGAAGGGGGTTCTTTCACTTCACCTTAATGTGTCTGCTGCAGAGCGGGCTACAGCAATCAGTACATCATATGAATTTGCTGTAAAGGGTGTAACGAAATTCTTGTTAAAAAAATGGAGCTCTTCACTAAGTTTGATCTACGGTGCACAGTTTACCTGCAATCATAATAGCATAATCTGGGCTAATATTACCCTAATATTCGTTTTTCTTTTTATAAGAATAATTAAAAAACGGTGATCAGGCGCGTCAATTAGTGGAACGCAAATCGGAGAGCACAATCGTAAATTGCCTTTCTCCTACGCCATAAACAACTAAGTACAGTTGATACGCATTCAACTACCCAACACCCTTGATCGGCTCTTTTTCAATTAATTATTGCAGGCAAACCATGCACCGCAAAGATAAAAATAGTACAGGACTTTGCGACTCCATTGTCAAGAAAAAGTAGCTCTATGTAAATTCCGAATTTTGTTAAACCCAGGGTATATGTGTAAATGTACAATATACCCGTATGTCCCAAATATTGGTTTTACGTGCATTAAAAAAACACGCGTTAGATACATTTAAAGTAGAAGCGACAATACGGAGGAAAAAAGGAGAAGCTGCGATAGATAATCAACGCATCTGAATATTTCTTGAACTCCAACCATATACTCTATACTGCGGGATATCGTCTAAATTGCGAGGCTCTTCGATATAAAAAGAAAACTTTAAATGTGTAATTAATATAAGATCGGGTTTCGGTCATTTCGTTTTCGTTTCCACCTCGTTTATCGGAATTCTCGCCTTCGGGTTTCACCGGAGCGTATCTGTAATGTTTTTTCTTTTTTTCTTCGCAGGCAAGATAAATTGATAGTCCAGATTAATAATTATTCCGAGGGCTCGCGTGAGGCCATCCATTAGGCAATGCGAACGTTTCATGTCGCCGCCCATGCATCGCGAAGCAATCACGCGCGAGATACGAGAGCAGCACTCGCGTACACGCAAATGACACTTGCACCCGCGTGCTACAACCTGCACTTGCGGTTTCGAGAAATCGGCACACGAGGTGAGCTGTTAAAACTCGATTACACGGATGCCTTGGGCCCGGAGCAGCAAAAAGGATCGAATTCGCAGGAGCCACGAGGCGAACGCATTCCGCGACTTCAATGTCTCGTTGCGTTTCGATCTCGTTTCCCGCCGGTCTCTCTTAAACAAGCAAAAAATTGTAGCAACATTTAACACGGGACTGAGAACGATAAGACCAAATTCCAAGATCAGTTCTCGACTTTCTATATACATATTTAACCCCCGCAACCCAATTTTGTTCGAACGAAAAAAGTTAATAAAACATGAAATTTGCAAATAATAACGTCCTCGTATTAACTTAAATACTTGTTTATGAATTTGCAATTTGTAAACAAATTCCCTTGGTTAGGAAGAAGTGATATCATAAATAAGATGCTATATTCAATTTTGCAAACGCTCGTTGCGTTTCGATCTCGTTTTCCACCGGTCTCTGTTAAACAAGCAAAAAATTAATATAACATGAAATTTGCAAATATTAACGTCCTCGTATTAACTTAAATATTTGTTTATGAATCTGCAATTTACAAGCAAGTTCCTTTGGTTAGGAAGAAGTGATACCATCAATAAGATGCCACATTCAATTTTGCAAACGCTCGTTGCGTTTCGATCTCGTTTTTCACCGGTCTCTCTTAAACAAGTAAAAAATTAACATAACATAAAATTTGCAAATATTAACGTCCTCGTATTAACTTAAATATTTGTTTATAAATTTGCAATTTATAAGCAAATTTCTTAGTTACGAAGGAGTGATATACCATTAATAAGATGCTACATTCAATTTTGCTGTATTGATTAAATAAGACTTATCAAATATCCATATGCGACTTCGAAGTCAACGTTAGAAAGGGTTAAAAACTTCGGCATCCAGTTTTCCCGGGATTTTCAAAAGGTGTGCCGACGACAAATTTTAGAATTAAAGTCTCGCGATAGATAAGTCGTACTCGTATATACGTGTATATATATTATCGTAAATACAGTCGATATAAAACATCTTGTGATTTCTTTACGCAGTAATATAGAGTTGTATAAATATACTAATTTGTCATTAGTCGCGTATCAAAAGGGGGTACGGGATGGACTCGTGTCTCTTTGAACGAGCGATCGCCGAGTAAAATCGAGCGCAGTTTCACGACTCATCGAGGCCGACAGGTTTTCCGCTACGTAATTCGTACTTGAGAAGCACATTTTCATTTCACCGCAATTTATGTTATACAGAAGAAATTGCGCGATCTTTCTTGCCCCCACGGGGTGGTATCCCGTCTTGGCACTAGCGTCGCTTGAAGTCGAAAAAAATCAAGTAACCCCCCCCCCCCCCGCAGGACTTTCCGGAAATTACAATCAAACCTGGGTATCCATTTGTATTTTCCCTCTTCCTTTTTTTTTTTTTTTTCTAAATATAGTTTGGTACAGCATTTGTTTATTCTTAAGGCGTTAATGTATGCTTACATTTAATCAAAGCATTCCACGCATAAACTAGCCATAGTTCCTAAACTGTTAACTGAGCATCGAGTTAAATGAATTTATTTGAAAAAAGAAAAGTAATTTAAATACTTTCCTCAAATTAACTCAAGAGACTTGGTAATCGATCAATATTTTATAATCTCTTGGGAATTGATGCATGCAGGGTATCTGTGTAGCGTGCACATGATAAGTTAACAATAGCAAATATCTTTTTATAGAACACTTTTAATGGACTTTTCTTAAATAAATATCCAGGTCTGATTATAGCGATGACGATTAGCTCATTTCGAAGCGCGCAGGTTTAATTAAACTTCAAATGTCTAAATACAACGCGATTATCTAAATCAACTTAATCGTAGGAATTCAGGTAGTGTCTCTTAATATCATTTTTTTCTTGTTTTTCTATCAAAATTTGTTAACGCACGCAACTGTATAAACGTAAAAAAATTATTTTAAAAAATTTCTGGAATTACCCTCGCCTGTTCAGTGCTTCTCGCATATTCGAGGTGACGATTACGTCGAAACGACTACGATTAATTTCCCTTTAATGTATCATCACAGTTCTCTCGTCCAACGATTGCGGATAAAAACGTCGATTAATAAAAAATTACAAATCGCGAGTGGTAATGATAATCATGGCAATGACATAGGATTAGATCTGAACGTCCATTTGAAATAGTTTTATACAAAATTGACATCCATTCGACATTTGCGAATTCTCATTTCATGATTGTACATCACGATTTAGTACATTTTTGTCTGAGCAATATTCCGCTGATTAATTAAACAAATTTTTACATGATTAAATATGCGCAGAATTCGACGAATTCAATTAAAAAGAGCTAGCTCGGGAATACCCCCCTTAAATGGATTTGGAGAATCAATAGATAGAAAATTTAGGATAAAACTATTTCAAATAAGTCCCAAGATCTGCGTAGGATAAACTCTGCCATCTGGTTGACTTAACTAGGACACGAATTAACTTCCAATTAGTGTCTCTTCGTTCCATCTTTTTGGCTAGGTACAAAATTCGCAAATTGGAAGGCGTAAGGCAATTATCTCCTATACATAGTGTGCATTAGGCTTAATTTTTAAACAATTCAGTTCTCGGGTTTCGTCTCCTGAAAGGATAAAAGTATAAATGCAGCCACGGTTCTAGTAGAAAAGAAGGAAAAAAAAAAAAATAAGAAACTCTATCGCAATAGTACGGTCAGCGAAGTACAGCTTAACGTTAGTCAACGATTTCAGACCTACGGCGCACTACGTTTACGCTTTTAAGGTTTTCTCGCTTTTACACTGTTCTCTCCCTAAAACTCGGCGCAACTTAAGTCGTCTCTAAGGTACATCCTAAATCCTACTTAAAATCTATCCTTAAGGAACACAAGGAATTTTTCGAACTTTTGGCGCTAACTCAACCCTGTAATCGTGGCGCTTGAAGAATCTCGTTTCATCGACGTTTGATCGAGAATAATCGTTTAATCGACGACGTCGACCTCGACCCATCTGCCGTCCTCGGAAGAGATTTGAGTATCTTTTTGTGCGTCTTTTCTGTGCACTCGACAACGAAATAACCTCGTCTTTTTCATCTTCTCGAGACCCTACTCTCAGTACTGTTATATATACACCAGCGAACGATACACCGTGCTTAAAAAAGAAGTCTCCTTTAAAACCTAATCTTTACGCTTCCGTCCCTCCCAGGACGAAATCTCGGTTTCATAAAGAAACACCCGACAAATGCGATCAAACGATGAATCTTGACACAGCATTGAGTATCCTACCATTCTGACGCGTTACTAGTCTGAGTAAAAAATTTCGGGAACGCACTTTCGATTCACCATTCTTTCGCATCGAGAAAAGGCGAAGGTGGATTATCACCTTTCCCGAATCATTCCTTCTCCGAATCCAATTTCCGACAATTATTGATGACACCGATCGTACATCAATTTCCTCGGGAAAGAAAAATTCAATAAAGGTAATAAACTCTCGCCGAATTACCTTAAAGAGATTCGCTCTAACATAAAACTGCCGAATAAGGGGGAAAAAAAAAAGAGAAAAAGAAAAATTAAAATGAACTCGTTTACGCCCCTAAGAATGGAGCTTCCTCGCAATTTTCTCCGATCCAATCCAATTGAACCGCAACTCTCTCCCAGACGATTCGAGCTTCAGTCCCTAGCTTCGCTCCTAACATTAGGTCGCGACCTGTATTTGGCATGACACTTGAAATTGACTCCTTCGAAATGCGGCAATCCCTGTCCTATCGTAAAATTAAAGTATGACAATGCGCAACGCGTGCTTCGCGGAACTCAGTCGGTGGCGTTCTTCTCGTCCTTCGTGCAGGAGACGCGAGTCAAGTCTGGATCAGCCTAACAAATCTAGTCTTCTGAAATGGTGTCCCGATTAAATTAAAACATCGCCCTCGTGATTCCGAAATCCCTAGGACTCTTCCGCGCCCGCTACCCCTCTCTGAAAACTCAAAGTGCTCGACCTCGATGCCACTCTTCGCGCTAATTAAACGAGAAAGCAATAAATAATTCGTCGCGATTCGCCGCGTTTACCATTCTACGTCCGCGTGCCGTATCAAGCCTCCACAAGGACACCGGTCTAGTCGGACAAACGCACGTCCGAGAAGTCTAGAACAACTAACTTCGTCGCTGCTATGACAAAAGCTTCACCCAACCTTAAGGCCGTTTGCCTAGGTACCGGCAAAATCGGCGCCGGCACCGACTTTACTGTCAAAAAACAATGTAACTTTCCTTCATTTACATTGTTCACATCGAAATAGAAACCGGCACCGGTTTCACCGGTCGCAGGCAAATGGCGTAACTAACGTTATCCTCCTTTTTGCATAGAAGACCCGGCTTGGGCTACTTCCTAAATGCCAGGGCGACACGAAACCCCATTTGCTGCTCATCGATAGCTGCGCGGATTATTAACCGATCCTACAATTCGTTGTAACAATGGAAATCAAATGTTGACCTCGAGTACCAACTCGAGGAAAAAGAAGGACCGCAACTATTTCACCTTTTAATCCCTCTTTCAGGGTTTAATCAGTCCAATAGGAATATCGCAACTCGTTGAAATCCAATTATTCTTCCCGAAGGTAGAGATTGAAAAAAAAAACCGCCTTTAAGGGGTTAGCCTACTGTGATGGATTAATAAAATAAGCGTCCTTTAGTCGCGGATTTGTAGGGAAGGTAAAGATGCGAATACTATTGTCGTTTGGCACCTTTTTAAGCATATCGTTAACTATTAAAATATGTTATACCGATGGAAATTTAATTATGTCTACCGTGCGGCAAATTCGCAGTACTAATTATTTTCTTGTAGACGGTCAATTAGGGTGCGCTATTGCCCTATCCAGCAGTAATTCAAACGGAAGGAAAGAAATTCTACGTGTAATTGTAGCATATTGATAAGCATTGACCGTTTCTAGTTCAATGCCATGATGATAACTGCAGATGATATACTGCCGTTGGATAACTACAACTCGAGGAAACGTGCACGCCGTTTTGAGAAACGCCATTTCGAGAGAACCGTATTTTTAAATTTGATACCACAATTATGTTGCTTTATTCTGATTTTTTGTTGCCCTATTCTCAATCAGCTACGTCTGCTTCATAAATCAACCCCTCCACTTCAGGTACAGCATATTAACATCTTTTATCTTTTAATGTTACAGTAGGCTAACCCCTCAACCCATCACGTAGGGCCGTCGATTGTTTAATTCCGTGTTTTAATTTCGTTTAAAAGTCCGACATTCGAGGAGCAACACTCCCCAGTTCGCGTCCTCCTGTGCAGGATCCTTAAACAGCGGCTGTATCCTCGGTGTTCCTCAGCAAAGCAGCCGCCTTGACAACGTCGCCGCCGCACTGGGTCAGCATGACCTTGCAATCCTCCAACCCTACGAAGTTGTTCTCCTTCTTGAGCAAGCCCTGGAGCCGCTCCAGCTTGATGGCGGCGAGAACGTCCCAGTCGGTGACATTAAGCGCGGCCACGCAGGACTCGGGGGTGGACTGTTCATGAAGAACCTTCAGCATGATCCTGACCTCGTCAGACTGTTCTCCGTTCCTGGGGCCGCGAGTCCTGCGAGCGTTGGGCCCATCGCAGGCAAATTCTAGAAGATCCTCGCAGGAGACATGGTCGGACTGTCTGGACAGATCACTGGTCCTGCCGGTACCTCTGTCACCAGCCAAATGGCAGCTCTTCCCGGAGCTGTTGACGCGAAACTCCTCGTGTACCGACGAGTTGTCCTTGCCCTGATGGCCCTGAGTCCTTGCCGCAGAAGAGGTCGAGTTTACCAGGGTGTTTGCTGGACCAGTAACCGGACCCTCGGGGCGAGGTCGGTCCCCTTGATGCCCGAAGTTGCAAGGACCATATCGTGAGACCGAAGAGCCGATACCTCGACCGGTCGAGCTCTGAGACCTCCCGGATATCCCGTGGTTCGACGTTTCCGCCTTCTGGGACCCTGAAGAGTCCTCCGAGCGGTTGAAGCTCGTCGGAGTCGAGTTCCCGCTTACATCGCTCGCTTCCAGGGTCTCCGGCGGGCATTTGGACGCCGAGCTCATCGACGAGCTCCTCGACTCGGTGCTGGTCTTTCTCTGCAGCTTACTCGAGGATTCGCTTTGACGTCCATCCGCGGCCATCTCTGGAATAACCTGCCGCAATTCCGGCACCTCGCAGTCGATTAGGTTGTCGGAGAACTCGAGAAGGTCCTCCGAAATCACGCTGCAACGGTGCAACCGGCTTTCTTCCACCGGCAGGGAATCCAGGGCGGCCAACTCGGAGTCGATTCGCTGTTCGAACTCCTCAGGGCTGAAAGGGACGGATTTTATAGTATTATTAAGTCTGCGAGATTCATAGAAACCTCAATAAAAGTAAACTATGCGACTGTTTTTCAAGATATACAGCAGGGATGTCCAACCCGCGGCCCATAACAGCTTATCATTATCATTGGTGCAATTGTTATATAATTGTTAATGACGTACTTCATGATTTACTTGCGCGGTGCTTGTGTGAACGACATATGGGACAACGGAACCCTATATACGGAAAGACACAGTGTAAGGTGGACCCTACCTCCCAGAGCATGCTTGTGCGACATGACAAGTATAAAATGAAGAAACAAAAAAAGAGAAGTTCCAATACCTTCATACATCAACTATATTATATATTTTACTACCGACTCATCCCCGCTTTGCATTGTAGTCCAAAAAGCGCTTGCTCCGTGTTTTCGTCGACTTGCTTCACTAAAATCACCGTAGCTGGCTCTTCCCATAGATTAATATTTCATACACCTAAACCTTCCTAAAGAGGTTTTATAGAACAGGGAGAACCGCATAAAAATCCGCTTAGTAGGTTCATGAGGTTAGTCCAAACAAATACAGACACGTCTCAGGGCTTTTACTTTATACCGTGTAAAGATACGAAGCCCAAGCGGGCCAAAAGGTTGGTCATCCCGAGCTTCTTTAAAACGTGGACGTAGGTAATCTTGAACACGTTCAACATATCGACCGTTCGATCCATTGGTTTCTGCAGAAAAAAGCATAGACGACGACAAATCAGGAAATTTCCGTCATCGGCACGCACCTGTTTAGAGCGACCGAGACAGGATGCAGAAGGTTTTCGTTCCTCTCCAGGTTCTGCGAGGCCCCAGGCTCCTGTTGGAAGAACGCAGAGTGCCCGTCGACCTGGTCCTCGACGGGCGGGGTGACGACGGCCATCTTTGCGAGGGTCCTGGTCACTCCGCCGCCAGGGATGATCAGCGGATGCTTCCTCTGGTGGCGGGGTAGGCTGGACTTGGGCTGCAAGGTCTTGGAGCGATCCCTCGGCGGTAGAGGGATGGGGTTCTCGTCGACGTTGTTGCGGTTCTGGTTGTTCTCGATCTCGGAGGCGGAGTTGTGCCTCTCGAGGCCGCGGGTCTGGGGTACGGGTGGCGGCGCGTTGGGCGGCGGCGGCACTCGGATCTTCGGCAAGGTCTTCGGCAAAGTCCTGGCGCCGTGATGGTGGGAATCGAAGTGGAACCCCTGTTCCCCGGGATCGTCCGAGTGGGCAGGGACGTGGCCCAGGGTGGCGTGCTTGTTGCCCCGGACCCTGGGCCTGACGACGGGCAGGCCGGACCTCAGCATCCTCAGAGGGTTCGTGTCCGTGGTGTTCTCCGCGATGGGCGCCTCCACCAGGTTGTTATACACCTCCTTGGCCTCGTCGGACAGGGTGGCCTAAACAAGTCGTGGGAGGGAGGGAGCCGTTTGGAGGAGAGAAAGAAAACAGAAAACAGAAGAGTTAAAAACCGTGGAGGCCACGAAGAGGGCAACGAAGAGACTCCAGGTGGACGGGGAGGACAGCGGGACGCTGGCCCGAGTTCGGGGAAGGACCGGTCCTCCCCCGGTCCTAATCGGCTAATCGGTAATGCCCGGGTCGCGTTTGGACCAACCGGAAGTGACACTTCAGAGGATCGATCGGAGTGGCACGTCGGCTGGTGCAGGCGCGTTTAAATTCGTTGTTCCGTGTGTACATTCGACGGGAACTCTGCGTGCCAGCCGCGATCGCGTATCTCGAGCGCCTCGAGGGCGGCGGTGCCCGAGTTCCTCTCTTTCTCTAGCTAATCCGCGTACAAACGGTAGAAACGTGTAAATATATCAAAAGTCGACGATTAGGATAGCGTTAGTACTACGGTCTGCATTCGGTACGTCGTGCAAGCATGCCAAAGCGTAGGAGGTAAACCCGGGGTCGAGGACGGGGTCACGGGTCGCGTACAAGGTGTAATCGCTGTCCTCGACTCCGGGTGACATGAGATCGAAAGCTCTGCGAGGGTTAATAGGCAGCATGCGTTAATGGGCAGCACGTTCACGGCAGTGATCCGGCCGGGAACCCTGAAGGGAGTTCCTCTCGCTGACGTCGACTCCACCCCGCGGGTAGAAGGACTGGGAAAGGTGAAACCATCGGCACGGAGTTCTTCGACGTCGGATAACTCCGGAGCACTGTAATCCTGGTCGAGGTTACCGATGAAGTTTCAATCAGGATCCAAGATATCGAACCGTCCTCTTCCTCGTACCAACGATACTTGTGTCGCTCCGAAGTTCAGATTCTGGACAATGGACGATGGTAGAGGTATCATCGCGCCGTCAAGTCCGAATCCCCCAGTCCAGGTAATGACTATTCCGAGAGCACTCTCTCCCGATGATCGCAAAACTTTCCCTGACTACCTCAGGGTATCGGAACTTACGCCAATACAGCCGCATACCACGAATAAAGCGCGCTTTCGCTCGAAATTCGGATTGCCCATGAAGGTGGAAACTGCAACTCTTCCCAGCCGATTTAAGTATAACAGAAGCTAAGCTATCGCCCTGCGACCGGGTCGTCGGAATCTCTTCATCCACGTGCCAATAAAGTTGCACACCTCGGACGAAGAGAACCACTTCCAGGGATTCAAGGCGCGGGAGATGGTGGGAACGTCAGCACGTCGTTCGTGAATTCCGGATACTCCGAGCTGGTGTCGGAGTCCAGGTCCGAGTTGCTGGTGAAAGTCAAACTGGAGCTGGGTGCGCTCTCCGGCCAGGAGAGCAGGTTATTCCTCGAGGAGAACGGCGGCGACAGCGAGTTCAGGAAGCTCGTCGAGGGTGGCGGCGACTTTCCGCATAGCTCGACCGCGGAGAAGCCGCGAGCCGCGTCCGGATGAAGCAGGTGGCCCCTGTTCTTCAGGTTCAGGCGCAGACTGCGAGGCACCTTCCTCTGGCGGCGCCTGAATCTCAACCTGCTCCTGATGTCCGTCTCGGAATGGCTAATGGAGTCCGAGTCCTCGCTGGAGTCGTTCTTCGGGTGGAAAGACCTGCGGATGTTCTTGGTTTGGGGTCTCCTGCTCTCCGAGAGGGACGAGGTTCTGTGGCGGAATGGGTTTACCTTGTCGATCGCGATATCGGCCATCGGTGGGTCCTTCCTGACGGCCTCGTTCTGGTAGAGCTTCGGCGGCTCCAAGATGTGCTGGTGGAGCCCAGGACTCCCTGGCATGCTCCTCCTCTGGGAAGTGCCGATCTGCGGCTTTGCCTGCAGCGGTATGTTCAGGTCCAGGTGCTTCGGTTTCTGGACCGGCACGTTCACGTTCCTCAGGGGCGACTGGGACTGCGGAGGCATCTCCGGGTTCCGAGAGCCCGGAAGGACGGACTTCGGTGCCGAAGCCTCCAAGTTCCTCGAGTTCTGGGCGATGTTCTTGCCGAGCTGGATCATGTTCTGCGTGAGCTTACCCAGGCCTAGGTTCAACCCTTGACCCTTCTTCGAATCCAGATAGCTCTTGACACTCTCCAAGCCGGACACCTCGCGCTGGTACTTCTCGGCGAGGAGCTTGCTGTTCAGCTCCGTCTGGTTGTTCGCCTCGACATCGGACTTCCTCCTGAGGCGTTGGAAGTTTGCCCTGAGACTCTCCGAGCTGCTGTACATCGGGGATTCCTTCTTCTCGGTCTCGGCGATAAAGAGCGGGTTACTAGATATCACGAACGGGTAGCTCTCGTGTCCATTCTGGCCTTGCTCGGCCTTGCGAAAGCTTTGGATGTTGATCCTGACAGCCTCCAAGTTCCCTCGTGGACTGTCCGGTCCGGCGCTCTTAAAGTTGACCTTGATGCTGTCCGAGGACCCGTAAACCGCCTTCGCCTCTTGTGCAGGATTTCTGCCGGGAAACGGAACCTTCCCGGCCCGGGCCTTCTGCTGATCGATGATCTTGCTCATCTCTGCGAAATTCATCCTCGCGGCATCGCCCAATGACGAGGTCACCTTCGGCCTGGTCCCTAAGTCGAAGCTCGTGAGCTTTTCCAACCTGGGTGAGTCAAACTTCGAGGATTTACCCCTCGGCGACTCAAAGCCCATCTTCTCTCTGGTGTCGAAATTCGCCAACTCCTCGGGCCGGCCTTCGAATCCTGCCGAAATTGGGAACATCTCGTTCCTTTCCTTCAGCGTCTGCTCGCAGTTGCTGATCTTGCAGTGCAGCTGCATCCTCTCGTTCCCCAAGGGACTGTGCTCCTGGAAGCCCGAGTAAAACTTGGTCTTACCGGGTTGCTCCAGATTGTTGATTTTCTCGAGCTTCTCCAGCTTCTCGAGCCTCTCCTCGGCAAAGTAGGACACCTTCTTCACGGGACACCCAAGGGTCCCGTCGTCCTCGTAATACTTAGGCTGCTCGAAGTATCGGTCGACGTAACTTGTCGAAACCCTCTTCTGCTCCCTGGAGAACTCGAAGCTGTTTTCTAGGCCGTACGGCAGCTTTCCGTTCGCCCTGCCCAGGGTCTTTGTCTCGATCTCGATCGCGTTCTCCGGGTTGATCCCGCACCGGCGACTCCTAGTCTCGAGGAACTCCGTCGACTTAACCAGGCTCTGCTTCGTCGCTGCACTGTCCAGAATCCGAGCGTCCAGGTCCACGTCCGCGTACGAGTCCCAGGCACCTGGCTTGGTAAGTAGATCCCGGGACTTTGCGAAGTAAAACTCCGCAGATGCCTTATCCCACAGGGGCAGCTTCAGGGTAGACGGAGCACCCAGTGATTCAATGCTGGACACCGTTGATGATAAGGACTGCAAGCTCGAACACAACCACTGTCTCGGGGACGACGTTGGCATGAGGATGTTATGGAGGACGTTACAGAGGATGATGAAGAAGATGAAGAGAATGACGGAGAGGACGTTGAAAGGGACATGGCGAATATTGAAGAGAACGTTGAAGGGAGCATTGAAGACGGTGAAAAGGACGTTAAAGCGAACATCGAAGCGAAGGTTGGAAGAAGAAAGCGTGCGTTACAAACCACAACGAGGATTACAATAGTTTTTAACCGGGAACCAGCCGAAGCATTCATTTTTACCGAAACCACGAATTTCGTTCACGGGAGATCGGGAACCAATTGGTCCGAGTTTAACACAAGAAGGAACGAAGTGGCGGGTGGAGACATTGAAAATAAAAACAGGGCCGATTGCACCGCGTAAATAAATAAAAATGTAAACAGGCGAGGAAGGCACGGGTCGTGGGGAGGATAGGTGATAATTATTATGTTAGTAAGCGCAGTAAGAACTTAGAGATAAGTGGAGGGCGTTAAGTCGAAGTATTAGCGATAATACTTGCGTTAGTTCGTGGACATGTAATTGGTAAACCTGACGAGGCGTCAGGAATTAACGCCGTTCCATGTTTCTTTCTCTTTTCTTTGTTCTTCAACCTCTCTTAATATCCTCGCAAAGCGAGTTCTTTAGATAAAACGCTTTCTATGAAAATCGAAGGTGTTAAAGGGTATTAGTATGAGGTGAGATGATATTTGAATTAGTCGAAATTGATGCCATCATGTGAGAGTGCCTAGATAGGGACAAATAGTACTTTTCCCCGAAAAGAAAACTGAGTGTTAATGTTGAGGTAATACTGAGTGTTAATACTGAATGCTGAGAGCTCCGTAGAAATAAATCCCGTTTAATAAAAATTGTGTTGTCAAACAGTAACCCTTGAAATCACTTTGACGTAGATACCATGTCGCGACGAAGAACCAATACAGAAAGACAATTAAGGTAGTTCGAAGAAAATTATTTCCCAAAGGAAAAATTATTATCTCCCGGAAAAATAAACTGCAGATGAGAAATACATATTATAGACCCAAAGTCTCTTATGAAGCATTTAAAAGAGAAAAACAGGAAAAACAAAAGGAAAGTTCCCAAGATGTCCAGATAGGCAGTAAAGATATTAAAATAAAAAAAAAGTGACGAAAAATTTCCGAGTAAAAACCCAAACGTCCCCGGAAAAGTGTCGCGCGAGGAATAAACGCCGTAACTTTAAGGTGTTATGAAAGCGTCATGACGTATATAAAAAAGTCAAAATATTTATAAAACTTTTCTTCAAACTAGGTGTATCGAATCATTTGGAATGTTAACACATGATTATGGAGGTCCTAATGATGGTCTTGAAGCCCACAGAATTTCATTTTCCAACAAAATTTGGTTACTTCTCACAGATTAGAACCAGGAACGTATATTTTTTATATTTTACGCCCCGTTTGGAAGGTTATAATTGAAAACGAAGACTTTCAGACGTAGATGTAACGATGTAGAACACTATAGTAACGGAAAATTACAGATTCATCGCGGAAATATCGGGAAAAGTTTTATAAATATATGTTGCGAAATTCTTGAATGCCCCGTAAGCAACACGTGCTCGGTAAGTGCCGTTAGAGCAAAAATTTAGTTGCCGCGAAACGTGGTAGATGGCGCCGTTGGTCGAATAAAGTATCAAAGATCATGAATTCAGAGGATTTCTTGAGTTTTAATTCGATCTTATTATAATCATTCTATTGAAATAGCATGCGGAATATGCCATTTCGCATAATTCTCCGTACAGAGTGCAACAAACGTAAACGTAAATATAAATGTTAGTAACGTGGCACGTCGGCTTATATTACGACTTGAGTATCCAAGATGGCGTTATCACCGAAAAGTGTATAGATGAATTTCCCTTCATCGACGTCGACTTTCATAACATCTTAAACGTCTTAGGCCACGAAAAAATAAACAAAAAGCAACGAAAAGAGCTGTTTAATGTACCTGGATGTCAGGTATACTGGCGGCCTCCTCGGAAAAGTGTCGTCTGTCTGGTTTGGGACTGTGTTGATGTGGCAACTTAAAAGAGAACTTTCTGCGCCTGGAGGGACTGGCAGGCGTGCGAGGAGACTCCGGCGGATGCTCGAGGTCTGTCATGGAACGCGCCGTCAATTCCTGCGCCATGGCGATAGCCGAGTAGAGAGTTTTCTGATCGGCTGCCGAGATGGGCTTCACCTAGACGTGGGAAAGACGTTCACTGTACAGGAATTCGGATGTTCCCACGCTGCAGGGTGGGTCGAGCTTGGCCCATGAATCAGCCACTACGTGTTTTCGAATACCCAACGCCCGAAAAAAATGTAAAAAAAAAAAATAAAAATAAAATAAAAAGAACCCTTCCCGAATATAGAAAATGTACGAGTACGCAAAACGTTGAATGCAACACTTATTCCATTCTTGCTAAATAAAAGCAATGTAAATACTTTTATAATATTCCCAACAACGAATCTTGTACGTCCAAATGGACTGTGGTGATGAACCTGCATCAGCATCAGGATCAAAAGTCTAAATGGTAACATGAAAGATCGAGTCTCATCCTGAAGACGCTTTTATGGTGATACGATGCTCGTCAGACATGAAGACCGAATTGGACCCGGGCACTGACCCACCCTGGCACGGCAAGCACTCCGAAGCTCCAGGAACTCGTAATCGCGCACGCAAAGTCATCGAGGGTCCTCTCTTATGGCGCCACGTTCCCTCCAACTTGCCTCCTCGGATCGGTCCCAAGTTTATAAAGTTTATGAAATTTATAAAATGTATACACGCACACGTACACGCACGGTGAAAAACCCTCCTCTCTTTGCGTATTAGATTGCACTCGACTACGAAAAATGGCGTCTTAGAACACACACAGAAATATATGTATATATATACATCACGAATGCCAGATTACTAGGCGCGGAACAGACTCCGAAAGCACGTAGAATGAATATATATATAGAAAAAAAAAGAAAAAAAAACAAGAGACTTTAAAACTGTTTAACAGTGAGGAAACGTTACGGTATATTTATAGGACTCACGGTGGCTTGTTTTTTCTTGTTACACTGCTTCGCCTGGATCTCTCGAAGTTCGTTCCTGGCATTGCTCGAATCGTGCTCCGAAGGCAGAGGATGTCCAGGTGGAGGAGGTGGCGGTGACGAACCTAAAAGGAGAGTTACCTTGTCAACTGGTTCTAAGGGGTTAAGCTATACAGCCTTCTCCTAGATTATAGTTACCCATCGATCGAAACATCTGATCCATCTCGTCCAGAAGGCTGGGACCGAAGTCGAAGTTCAGAGGTTTGTCGAATCTCAACGGACTGTCCTGGTTCTCTTCGTCACTGATCTCGTGATATTCGTGATCGGCCCCGCCATTATCCGTACCCGTGGCCATGCACGAAATCATGGATTGCTTGCTGGTATTGCTTGGTGCTCCCAGATGAGATATATCAGAGCTCGTGTCAGACCAAAGGCTTTCTGAAAGGTACCACACGATCAGTACTTCATTGAATTAGTCTCAAAAACAACGGAAGTAGGGCTTGAAAGTGAAACGAAGAGATTTCTCGTTACCGTGTTTGCTTTGGGTGTCGTGGTGCACGTGCTGAATACTCCTGCTATCCCTGATCGATTCCCTGGTAGTGTCTGCATTCCTTGCATCTTGACTGGCAAATTGACTAGAGTTGTCCGTCGCGTCTTCCTGAGGTTTATACGGCGTGACCACTTGACGCGGAAGGTGCGGATACTTTCCGCCTAAGAAACTGATGTCACCGAAGTAGGCGCCGTCCAGTCCAACGTGACCGGTGTGTTTGAAATCCCCTTGCGGAGAAGAGATCATGTCTGTTCGTATTTTTCTACGCTGCGAGGAGAAGGCATTTTTCCCATCGCCCCTCGTAAACTCCCCGGGCTTGTTACTCGGCAAATTCGAGCCGAGGTAGGCTATCGTGTGTGCCGGATTGAACAGTCCCGTCTTCCCGTTATTCAGTACACCTTTCCAAAGCGTGTTGCTGCTCCCCTTGTCCAAAACCGTAATCACATCCCCTTGTCGGTATACTAATTGCCCTGTTTCCGCACTATCTTGAACCGCCTGAACCTGTTCAGGCTTCAAATCTGGCAGAAGGTTGATTAGCTCTGAAAACTTTGGTCTCTTCGTAGGTTCGTGCTGCCAGCATTGTTGCATTAACGAGAAGTAATCCTTAGGGCAACAGTCGGGCTGCTCGAGGCGTTGGAAGTTGGGTTCATCGATAGCCTCTAAGATTTGGTGGCCCGTCAGAGCAGCCCAGGGCTGAAAGCCATAACTGAACATCTCCCAAAGAGTCACTCCGTAAGCCCACACGTCACTCGCAGATGTGAACTTCAAATAGGAGATGCACTCTGGCGCACACCACGCAATCGGCAGTTTCAGATTAACATTGAAATTCGTCTGGTAGTAATCCTTGCCTACTCCGAGTGCCCTGGATAGGCCGAAGTCCGAGATTTTCACTTTGTTCTTAGAAAAAACCAAGATGTTCCTTGCGGCTAGGTCGCGATGTATCAGTCTTTTGGCTTCCAGGTATTGCATGCCGTCTGCAATCTGTACAGCGAAGTCGCACAGCGACAGTACTGGAAAACTGGCTCGTAGACTGGGTTCCTTCAGACACTCCAGAAGAGAGCGAAGAGGTGCCAACTCCGTAACCAACATCAGAGAGTTTGTGTCTAGAACGACACCGTACAACCTGACGATGTGCTCGTGATCGATGGCATGCATTATGGCAGCCTCTTTTAGAAACTCGATAGGATTGTTCTGCATACGTTCTCTTGAAAGACATTTTATTGCCACTTGAATTCTTTCCCCGTCGTTTGTCCATACTCCCTGTTGTACCACCCCAAATTCTCCGGTTCCTAGTTCTTTGTTAACAATTATCGCATCGGCTGGTATCATGTGCTTGTTGGGGACTCGGACTGGAGGCCGGTCCTGCCTTTCCTCGGGTAACATTCCCAATGCCCCGGGTACTTGTTCCTCCCGTTTTGGAAGAAGCATCTTCTTGAACTTGGACAAATAGTTCTGCGGGAAGTGCTTTTGGAAATACTTTTTTAGACGGCGCATCTCTGGTTTACTCATACCGATTGCGTTTAGATCTTCTTCTGTTACATATTTTAGCTGAGCAGTCGTCTGTACTTTCAGGTCTCCTAAAAACATTGTACATTGATTCTGTTTCGTTAACGACGTGTTACTTCGTTGATATAGATTTTTCAAAATGTAATACGTGCTGAATTATGAAAATGCTTCCATTAGGTTATTTTCTATGATTCACTATAGATAGATATACGCAGTTTGGTAACCGACGTGATCATCAATCAAGGGTATATTATTGAATCTAGGTTACATATAAAGTGTAATAGCTTCGAGTACATAGGGTGCAACTGCACTTAAGCAGTTAAGTCATTATACAAGGTCACGCCACAGTATCAAGAGTATGTTCAACTTAGCGCGTATATTTATATGTATCAACAAAAATGTATGCAATAAAAACATCTATGTATTTGTTACTTCAAATACCGATATTACACGTTTTTATTAACTATGAAATTATGAGAAAAGAAATCAATTTCAATATTTGATAAACAATTAAAATATATTATGCTTACCTCGAATACCCGGATAATATTGTTGCAATTCAGCCTCCATAAGAAATTCATACAGTCCAGGACCAGTATTTCGCGACATCCCTCCTTGTGTGTCTGTAACAAAATTGTTACATATGTACAGTCTTATGTCCCAAACTATATTAAAATTAACTTTACAACTTCCTTATACCGTCGCTTTGATAATCGTTAGTAATTGTAATAAAGTATTTGGAGCATGGGAACTGGAGTGTCCAAGGTAAAAAACTTCAGAGACAAAGACCAAGAACTATGTATGACCAAACAAGAAGCTATAACACAAGACTATGCGGTACAAAGCATTATACATGGAACAAGGCCACTTTCACATTCTTGGAAACGGTAACATGACTTTAAAACGATCACGATCCGTGACTGACATTGAAGGAAGAAACCTTGTTAGTTCGATGAATCGACAATGTTTGTACGTACATTCCTTGTCAAGGAATACTTTCCAGTCTACCTACCCAATTGCAAATTCATGACAAAACTCACAAATTAAAGAATTCTTCCACTTTGCTCTGTCATCCAAGATACCTAAAATACCTATCGCCCTAAACAATTTCACACACAAATACCGAATAAACATGAACGACTTCTCATCTCGAGTATAGTTTAAAATGGCAAGAATCAATAACTTTGACACATGACTCGATATCACAAATTTTACTCCTGGTGTTCATCGGAGGAACAAAACAAAGCATACAGAGTTCACCGAATTTAAAAAGCCTAACTAACCAGGAACCTACGAATCGACCGGCTCAAAAGTTAATATCCTGGCATCGGAACGCTCTCACTCGGAGCCTCTTGGCGCCAGAGCCAGCATAGCTGGGAAGATCTCAGAGGGCAAAAAAAATCCCATCCTACTCCAGACTCGTGCGCTAGTCGCGTGCAGCTCCGGCTCCGGCTCCCCCGAAGACACGCCCCGCGTCAGGGCCTTAAATAGAGAACGATTTATAAATAGTGATCGGGCCTCGGCCAGTTGAGGCGTCGTCGACTCACCCATGCTCTCTCGACGCTGACCACTGCGAACGGGCTTCCCTCGACGCCTTTCGACGCTCTTTGACACTTTCCGACGCCTCCTGACACCCCCTGACACTTCGACGCCGTCCGCTGGTTCCTTCCTCCCTGCGAGGCCGGCGAAGATGCCAGGCGACGGGGCGACGACTTTGCGGTTTCCTCGTTTCTCTCACATCTTCGCCGAGCCCGATCGACCGGGCGAGTTCCTCGGGACGACGACCCGTCGATGCGCGCACGGTGCTCCTCCGTTCGCGGTCTCGAGCATTCGCCGCGACACGCCAGGCAATCCGAAACGCGACACACTCGCTCTCACCCGAGGCCTGCGAGCGAGGCGACACGGCTTGACACACCGACGCGTTGCTCGCACCCACCTTCAACCACAAACGAGAGCTCCGTATCGCGCATCCCTACACACAGCCGGGCGAGCTCACACAGGCACACGTGCTGGCGCACACCACGCACGCGCGGCGGCGACGCAGCGACCAAAGGGCAGCCTTGGGAAACCTCGCCGCCCCTCGCGGTCCACGCGAGATAGCGCTGCCGCCTGCATCGATCTCTCGATACGCGAGATTTCTCGAATGACTGCGAATGACGGGCGAGGACTCGCAAGGCCATGGACGTAAGAATATACAGAGATGAGTTGGGAGATTGCGCAGGGGCAGGGTCGCGCGATCGCAGCCTGTGCTGCCCTCTGGTTTCGTACGTTAGCTTTCACCGTTTTTTACCTCCCATTTGAGGATAAAATAAATAAGGTAAGTAAAGGATAAAGTCAAAGAGGGCGCCACGAGCGTTCTGCCCTTACCATCAAAAGCGAGCAGTGTCGGTAAGCGTAGGTAAGCCACCACCGTCACAGCCGCATGGTATTACCATCACGAGTACGTGAGCCGCCAACGGCGACTGATAGAAGGCACCGCCATCCCGTGTGTACGCGCCCCTACCAGAAATTCGTTGCGCCGCCCTTGGGGGAAAAAAAACGGTGAAAGCTCACGTACGAAACCAGAGGGCAGCACAGGATCGATAGAGCGACTCTGCCCGTAAGCAATCTCCTAAATCATCTCTGAAAATATCAGTTTTAGGCGGATGTAGACCGGGCCTTAGGACCGGTTCACAACTCGAGTTAACTGAAGTTTATCTGGTTTATACCTGGTTTCAACCTGCTGTAAACCAATTAAACTCCGGTTAACTCGAGTTGTGGAACCGGGCCTTAATTTTTCAATGGTGTTCGATAGGGTTGGCTCAGCTGACTGTGAAATGTATCTGTTAAAGGACCAACGATTATAAAAATGATTTTTTAAACCATCTTCTGTCGTGCTTCTTAAAAATTGTGAGCACTTCATTATAAAAATGGCATTATCAATCGGTGCTCGGATAAAACCACTGTATGTTGGAGCTCTTGCGGGGTTATGTAAGGTTAGTATCCGGTTGCCCTTTTACGTCTAAATTACCGCATAGTTTTATCAAAATCTTAATTAAGTAAATTATGCAATTCTTAATTATACTTGTAAAATAATTTGAAAATACATTCACGGAATTAACTACAAATTTCTCCTTTCGTGATCAACCAGATTTTGCTTTGAATTACCAACTAATTTCCGTTGTTAATTGCGATTCAGAAGTAATTGATTTACATTTATTAGAGAACATTCCTCCATCTATTAAAACCTGATTAAGAAAGAAACTGATATGATAAGTTGATAATGTCGCTTAAAAATTACAAGTTTATTAAAAGATCGTATGGATCTATTGCGTTCTCTATCCCTTACTAACTTATTCACGGAAAAACATCTGATTTAGTTATACTGATATTAGTAATAAAATTGATTTTCTTTTATTTTGTTCTAACTGATACAGCAGTAATGAGAAATAATTATGTGCAATTTTAAATATATTAGTACAGGCAAATAGAGTAAAATGAATTTTGACTGAATTTTTAAGTCTTGATGTATGAATTATTAACAAAACAATAATTTCACAGGTTAATGTCAGTGGTGCAAATGTTAAAAAGATACAGGTAGCCTTAATTACTTGCAAAACGGCGCGTGTGAATAGGCCACCTCGACCACCACCATTTCCTTATAAGGAAAAGAAATTTAATAGATATTATCAAGTTAGTGACAAGACATTGGCAAGATTCGATGATAATTCAAAAATTGTGGTTGTTGAAGGCTCAATTGCTGCTGGAAAGGATAAACTTGCTAGATATTTAGCCGAGCAACTGGAAATGCACTATTTTCCACCTCCACGTTGGGCAAATATTCTAATAAATGAACAAGGTTTCGATCGTAGGTCACTGGATCACTTGTTTACTAATACACCTGTGTTACAAACATGTGATGAAGAGAGATTTTGTAGAGATCCTCATCATGTAAACTCAAATCTTTACCAACATATGTACTATGTCATGAGATTTAGTCAATATATAGATGCGTTAACACATCTATTCTCAACTGGTCAAGGTGTTGTACTTCAACGCACCCCTTGGTCGGATTACGTTTTCATGGAAGCCATGCATAAGGCAGGATATGTCTCGAATGGTTCATTGTTATACTATAATGAGGTCGTGGACAATAGTCTTTTCCACCTCATGCTTCCACATTTGATTATATATTTGGATGTGCCAGCAGAAACTATAAAGGTAAAAATCTTTAGAGTATAAATGTATGTCTGTTCAATCTATGCTTCACTTATGTTTATATCACTAGATATAGCCATCAGCGTTTACTCTGTTTTTAATCGATTAGTTTTTATACCGTAGTACTGTCATAAATTAAATATTTGATTTACTTCTATGTCATGAATAAATGTTTTGTTTACCTTTGTATTAAATTAAAATATAGATATATTATTATTATATTAACGGTGATATCTGCATTTAAGAAAAGTATACTATAGTATGTAGTACATTTAAAAAACATAAAGAATGGTAGTAAGTGACATGTAATGATTACAGAAAAATATTATGAAACGTGGTATTCCATATGAGGTAGAGGGAAAAGCACTTACAATGGAATTTCTTACCAACATTGAAGAAAAATATAAACATGAGTACTTACCAAAAATGGCAAAATCAAGTAATGTTTTATTATACGATTGGAGTAACGAGGGTGATTTAGAAGTGGTGATTGAAGATATTGAAAGGTTGAGTTTCGAGGTTACGGATAGAAAAGATACAAGATTTAAGGACTGGGATCTTAATCATCCACACGAATGGCGTGAGCTGAGGATTCTTTATAGTCAAGCCAAGTACTTTCTAATGCAAACCTGTCTATCTTTCCGGTTCGATGTGCCAGAAATGCTGCTCGAGGGCACTTTGCAAGAAAAATATCATGTGGCTACAAATCAGGTAAATAGAGAATTTGCAATAATATTTATTTATCAAGTATGTTAGAACAGAATTGATTACTCTCTGGTAATTTTTACAAAACCTTTGTTTTCTTTTCTAGATATCGAAGCTTAAATATACAAAAGGCTATAATCCTGAACTGGGTGACAACGTGTTATTTAAACTGTAGTAATATTATCCCATTAAAAACTAGTGAAATTAGTGAACTTTCAGAATCCCACAGGTACACGCTATTCCCAATAAGATATCTCATCCCTAGAAAATTAAGTACATGCTCTGTAGTGGACACGTTCATCTATTGCAAATTGGGTTATCTTGAATGTGAAGAAAATTCGTTGATCATTATAAGCAATTTTTAATAATGTATGTTTTATTAAAAAATATATTTCATTTCGATATTTACAGATTTGTCCTTAATTTTGAAATACGGTTCTACCAAAACGTAAGATATTTACATTACTCTTTTCAATCATTATTTCGCCCAAGCATAGGTCCAAAACGTAATTTTATCCAATTGCGATAAAAAGAAACCTAAGAATTTCACCATAATCTGCAACTAGACCTCTAAAGTTACTATACTGTATCTTCCATTTACGACATAATTACAATTACATCTGAAATAATAAGTGGAAGGGTACAACAATGGTCTCACGGTAAAATATTTACACATTAAAAAGTACGTCATCGAATAAAATGAAATATTTGATTGAACAGTATTTGTTTTGTCGGAAAGTACTATTACAGTTTTATGGTTAATGTACAGTATCACCGAAAAACTAAATTTAATAACTCAACATTTTCAATTGCTTATTCTCCTTATAATGATTATTGTAACATAAAGGAATGCAAATGTTTGAGTCAATTTATAAAATTCCTTCTGCGATGAGTCCAGTTTTAAATTGATTCTAACGTCGTTGTTACATCTAAAAAGGTTTGTTTCTCTTCATCCGGCTTTTTTGACTTCCTATAAAATTAGAAAGAAAGATGAAACACAATTTTAAATCAGGCCGCAAAGAATAGTGACGTTTCAGCAAGAATGTTTCTTCTTATAAGTGTGTTTCATATTATATACTACCACAATCAAGTTACTCTAAAAAGTAATCACATTACAATTTACTATTTAGGTGTATAGTGAAACCGCAAATTTTTGTAAATAAATTTACTAAATGCCACACAATTTACAATTACCTTGATCTCTTCGTTGCTTTCACGGGCGTCGGGTCAGTAGAAAAGTCAGTGAATAATGTTAACCTCGTCTGCAATTTAACACATATCGCATTAATGACATTATATTCAACATTTAAGTTGTACAGTAAATGAAGTGAGTTATCTTACGTTTTCTTTGTCTACATTTTGACAAGTTTCTGGATTACAATTGCAATTACTGCAAGCTTTCTGATTTTTTCTACAAGTACATAGTCGAGTGGTACACTTTGTTTTACAAGCGCATTTTATATCTCCGTCTGAGGACCTTTTTGTCGCCACGCGTTCGTCATCAGATTTTGCTGCGGTACTCTTCAGTAAAAACAAAAATAATTGCAACGTAAAATTTATGACAATTCATGCACATTTCACTCAAGACTTACCCAAAGTGTTCGAATCCTCTTATAAAGAGGAGTTTTTTTCCAGTCTGGGTCTTTAGTAACATCGTCATCCACTATACTATCGTCAGTAACATTGGACACATCATAGAGTGGTTTACTATCAACGTCGTTAAGTTTTGATTTCCATTTTTTTACCTGCAGATTATCGTAAAATTTCTGTTCAATAACTACTTATTTTCTTAAATCATTTATGAAAACTAATTATGTTTATAAATACACGTATTGAAAAAAAAAGAAAGTAGTAGAATTCCTCACCGTAACAGATTTTTGTTTCCGTGGCTTGTGATCAGTATCATTTATTTCATCGTCTGATTCTTCCTGAGACGCTTGTTCTTGTAACTCACGGAATAGTTCCTGTCTATACTTTGTGCGACTTTCTTTCTCTCGCAATTCATATTCTCGAATTTTCATTTGAAGCTTATCACACTTATCCTGTAACGATAAGGAATACGATAAGGAATTTATGATAAATTAAACGCAAAAGAAGACGACTGAAAAAAAGAGACTATGTTGAACTTTATTGCACAAAAATGTATGTGCTCTGTTGGGTCTTGTGATCGAAAGTATTTGAACCAAATATCTATATTGAGTCCAGAAAACACTTTAAACCGGTATGGCATTTTGTTACATCATAATGCAAATATTTAAAAATTACTGATAGTACGCATTTTTTCAAAGAATGTATCTCTTCTTGTTTCAATGTGACTCAAATATAGAATATTACTTCTATCCGACAATCGAACGAAATTTCAATGTAAATACTCACCATGAGTAGATCATATTTATGCTTTTCCGCGTCCCGTTTTTTTCGATCTTCTGCAGAAAAATCAAAGAGGATATTCAAAGCTTCCTTTAAATCTAGAGATTGCACAGCGTGCCACCTGGTTCGTGCCCTGTTTTCTGTAATAGGATGGAAAATGTTACATTGACAGGGTTCGGACAAACACTTCAGGAACAACTACAAGGTTGAGACCACACAAGCGTTTAAATGACGTCTACCCCCATGGAAGCGAATTGTACTAGTTTTAATAAAAGGTAACGTTAAACTCAATCCAAGCGATTTCAGTTTTCTAATCATGTTTTTGCAGCAATTGCAGCACGAATATTTAATTTCTTAATTTCCGGAAAATATTTTTATAAGTTACACAGCCGACCGGTACGGTAACTCTGCCATGGTGTAACAATACACGAAAAACGTGTAACCCTAGTCAACACCGAGACCAGGCAGCTATGCCTCACACCCGCTACTTGCACTTGCATTACGTCTATGTAACACTGGGGTAAGAAAGCGTAGCCCGGTTGAAAATGCTACAAACTTTCAGTCTCTTCTTAACAATGGATCAAAGATGTTACTATGCCTTTATTGTATTGTTCTTGCATACCTTGATCCGCTTCCAATATCTTTTGTTGGAAATCCGCAATTTGTGCATTACGCAAGTCAATAAATTGTTCAAGCTCAGCAATCTTCTGCTTCGTTGCAGGACTGTCATCTAAATCGCTTGACTTTAGCGTCTGAAGTTCATTGGTTTGTACAGCTCGGTCCTGCATAAGTCGTTCTAGGGTGCACTTTGCATCAACGGTACTAAGCAGAATCTTCAATTCCTGCGTAACCCATGCATGAGCGTTTTCTTTGCTGCCACTTGTCTTTTCCCTCCTTTGATGCGCTTTTTTTTGCATCTCAAGCCTCCTGTCCAAGGTGCACAAGTTATTGCTTTTAAGTGCAAACTTGATATTAAACCGTTACAATGAATATACGATAAAGATTTGATTTAAGAAAAGACCAATACTCATACATCGCACGAATTTTTCGTATTTATAGTAAATTTTCTCGTTTTCTATGTATCGTTAATGTAGATAATGTAGACCTATGTAGGTCGTACCATTTTCTTATTAAATGTTCTTCGAAACATTCGATTCAACAAATTTTAAAAGGAATCTCTTTATGGAAAACCCTTTATACGGCTAAATATTGTATTCTGTAAATACAGGATTACCCATAAATATGAAATATACCTTTAATCTCTTATTTATCGACGTGGCTTCTTCTATTTTTCGCTTCATGACATTTTGCTGCTTGTTATACAGGGATTCGAGACGAGCCATTTGGTTCTGTCGTTTCCTGTCCTGATCCTTCAATTTAGAGAGTTCACGTTCACGTTCTTGTCTCCATTTACCGAACCTCTCAGCTTCGGATCGCATTTGTCGCACCAGTTTGACACGAATTTGTTTTAAAGACTGAATCTCAGTAGTTAGATTTTTTATTTGCTGATCGGACTTTTCTTTCATTTTGATTGCTTTGTTTTGTTCCACACATTTTCGCGTTAATTCCGTTATTTTCTTCTCTAGTTCTTGTACCTTCTTTCGGCGTGTCTCTGCAATTCTAGAAAATCATGGGTAATGTTAAAATAAAAATATATCTGTGTCACTTCTATTACTTAAGTACAATAAAGTGATGTAAAAAAAAAAAAAATATTAGAAACACTAACTTTGAGCTTGCGTTATTCGCTTTAACACTTTGTAAAGCTTGAAGAAGCTCTTCCTTCTCAGCCTGTAGGGATTTTATCTCTTGTTCCATCTCTTGAAGTTCTTTCGTATAATCTGCCAGATGGGACGAGTTTTTCAGAAGTTTCGATATCAGATCTTCCTTTAACGCCAGTTCTCTATTGATATTTTGCACCTCGTTGTTTCTTTCAGCTTGCTGCAACGTATGCTCTTCTTGTTTTTCGTCAAGATCCGTGCTTTTATCGAATTCGTCCTCCGATCCAGATGTATGGGGTTTTTCTTCAACAATTCCACTGCTTGAACTTCCCGCACTTCCACAAATATCGTGGCAACGAAGTTCTTCAGCATTCTTCGCGTCGTCTTTCTGAAGATCTATGGTTAAACATTCTTTCGATTATAATTGTTCTTGGCAAACTTGTGTTAAAACTGCATCGAATTATACATTCATTTTCTATATACATACCAAGCAGTTTCATCCGTATAGTTTCAATTTTGTTACATAGGTCTGTGCAGATGGCACATACATTTAAGCTCGAAAGATCTTCAAACTCGTGTAGAACAGCAGTCAACTGCGCTTTGTTTCTTTCCCGCGCTTGTTCGGCAAGTTCAGCCTGTTCATGCATGTGGACAACTTCCAGCAGATTTTCGTTCAACTTGCTTGCGAGGTCACGGACTCTCTTTTGCAGCAGTCGATTTTTCTCCTGAAGTTCGTTATGCTCGGGAGGACATGAGCCCCCATGTCCTGTGTCCAGCAATGCTACTCTTAATTCCTGAATTGTTTTGTGTAATCGGTTGATTTCAGCAATTCCTGGATCTTGATTAACGATTGGCTTGTTCTTAATTCGTCGGGCACGATCGGCATACCTCAAGGTACTTATGGTCTCGTCAAGATTGTAATCTAGAAAATTAGTTGCTATTAGTATTCATATGTAATATTAAGTAAAAACTTGTCCACATATTAACACGTATCCATCAGCATGTTTTCTCCCCAGCATTAATTCGGTCATCTTTCGTTACATGTTCATGAATTGTTTTACTTAATTTCGAATGAAATTACTAATTTGTCATGCGGTCGAATACGTTAAAATAGAGAATAATGCTGTTTAAAATTAATTCAGCTACTTAAAGATACCTACCTGCTGGACTTACGCACGCTATCATAAGCGTCATTGAATTTCCTCCAAGAGAATCTTGGAGGAGCCTCGTGAGTTTACTATCACGGTATCCAATGTAAGAGTGACTTCCACCTTCACCCAATTGGGATATTACGTTTCCCAGAGCTAGGAGACCCTTATTTATATTAACGCCCTCTTTGAATCTTTCTCCTGTGGCCTGCGTCTTTTTACTGCGTTCCGATCCTGCTAGGTCGACAAGGTGAAATTTCGCAGTTGTCGCAGTATTGCTGCAATATACATAAAATTTACAATTTAGAAAAAAGAAAACATTAATCCTTTATCGGTTACTTAATTATGCTTACGGATCATCTCTTTTCTGCTGGTAAATTGTGATGGTAAAAATTGCATGACTACGACTGCTACACGCATTCATTGCCGTTGCTCCAGTCGCTCGACCCAAAGAACCTTGTGTTAAGCATTGCAGAGTTTCTTCAGCATTTGTAACATTGACTTCCGTTAACCCTGCAACCTTAACACCCTTTGAATCTTCTCTAATGTCCACTATACATTGATTGCGTTGCTTTTTTGATAACAGGTCGTATAATTGTTCTTGGTACAGTTCCATGAAGGAAACGGTTACATTAAAAATCCAGTCTTGCTTCAAATTAATTATAGCAAAAATATCTTGCACAGCTCTGGGAATAACCCCTGGCTGTTCCCCATGGGCATAATTCGTGCCCATTGAGTGTGTTTTCCCACTTCCGGTTTGTCCATAAGCCAGAATTGTTACGTTATATCCTATAAATAATGAATGTAATATTTTATGCAAGTTTTTTATATCTGTATACTTAATATCTATGGAAAAATTTGGCAAGAAAATGCATACCTTGGAAAACATTTTTCACCATATCTTGAATAGCAGTCTTATAAAAAGAATCCTGTTCAATCTCTGGCGCAAATACATAGTTGAACGTGAAGGCTTTTTCAGTCCCTCTTACTTGAATCTGTGATTCTCCAGGAATTACCGTGAGACACGTTTGGCATCCTTTCTCAATTTCTGTCCGAACCAGTGGTCGGATGCGGACAGCCACACGAACTGTATCTTCGCTCATCTATAACAGTTTTAATTGATACACACATTTATTAATAATAACACATCGTTTGTAGGTAACGTTACATTTGTCTTTGAGGGGGAAAGCCTTGCACGTAACCATAAATGAATGTCTATAACACTAGTTCAATTTTGTATCACACTCATTATTCAATAAACGTCGAAATCAAACTCTTTTCCTTTCTTAAGCAATGCTGTCACTAAGTTCAGGTCATTGTTAATTAAATTAAATCTGTAACCATTTTTCAAGGAAGTCAAATCTAATCTGTTATATCGTCGTGAATAATTGGAGAAATGTAATTTACATTAAAAAATTAATATTGTCTCACTTGAATTTTTCGAGTCTCGTGGAAGCAGCGATGAAGAGGCGCTCAGCGTCTCAGACGAGCTCTTCGGTCCTTACCACCGCTAAGAATATTAGAAATATATGAATGAGTATATGAATGATTATGAATGACATATGAATTACTTTATCGGCATTTAAAACCTACTTTACCTGACTAATCCGTTTTTGACCTCCTGCGCCGATTTGCAACCTTTGCTAACTTCTTTTCGGTATATCCGTTAAGTTCGAATCAGAACCTGCTCATCTCTGTTCAAATTAAATAGAACGTTTGTGTGAAGTTGCATACGATATCTCGTTTACCTCCACGGTCGAAACTGTAGGCAGTGTTGCCAATTCCAATTTACTATATATTTCAGTGGTATTTAACCAGGTCTGTGTAGTGTGAACGGGCCATAACAATTTGGAGGGTCCCAATTGGACACTGGCCCTGTGGACCAGTGTGGCCAACATTAAGCCCGTGAATTATAGTACACTGGCATTCATCAATGGTTTCCTCGCGGACCCACTGTCCTCGCCAGCCGCGCGACGTACTAGTGGCGGGAGCAGCGCGGAATTTGAATCATCCGAGGCAGAATGGATATCCTAAAGGTATAAAATGTAAATATATAAGAGACATGATATCATGATTCCGCTTCTATGTCCGAAAGTGGATGCATTGTAAATTTCCTATGGCATTTCACTGTATAAATATGAATAAACTATTTTTTTTTACACTAATATAATATTCTAACTTCGTTTCAGTGGATGGAACAATTGAATCGCTAAGAAACTTCTTAACTTTTAATAAAACATTTTTTTAATATATTTTTTAAGAAATTCTGTGAATAATCATTTAACAAAAACTACTTTAAGTGGGTCAGAGACACTTCACAATAATATTTAAATAATTACCATTAATTGTTTTTGTTCATAAACATTTTTTTTCTTTACGAAATCCATTCTACCCCTTGGGCGATTGAAATTCCGCGTTGCTCGGCGATAAGATGTCGTCAAAAATTAAGAAAATGGCGGGGGGCGCGAGGGACGTATTGCATACTACGTTCGAAATTTATATCAACATGGTGCAGTAAATCTCAATCGACGGTATTCAGAGATCTTAACGAGGTGCAAGGGAGGCTTCGTAGGTGACGAGGTGGGATGTACGCGCAGTTTCCGAATCGACACGAAGACAATGAGGTTAGGACGCGACAGTGATCACGGTCCGCGAGTGCCATGGATTAAATATCGTTCAGCGAAAGAAAAGGAATTCAACGAAGGCAGTAGAAGCATGCAGCGTATCCAGCGTATCCAGCATAAACAGCGTAAACAACGTATCCAGCGTATCCAGCGTATCCAGCGAATGCAGCGAATGCAGCGATAGCAGCGAAAGCAGTGGAAGCGGACACAAAGGTGGAATGCAGCCAGAGCCAACGTCGAAGGGAGGCAGATGGAGAGGAGGTCAGAAACCCCAGGTCTCTGCGGAGGGATCTCCTGGGGGAGTACCGCCAGAAAAAGACGTATCGTCCCGTTGGTAAGTCTCAACGTTTCCTTCCTCCGATCCCTTCATGTCGCAGGACGAAAGGTCCGTACCGGCACGGGGATCGGTTGTACGTTACGATTTGTTTGAGGGACCGCGAGTAGACGGGATGTGACTTCTCGCCGACTCGCGAGTGGCCGCGTGAACTTTGCTTATTTCTTGTATGTTGATTTAGACTAGGAATAGCTTTCTCCTGGGTCCGCGGTAGATTACGTTTCGCGTTTCTTTATCATGCGCCGGGAAGTCGGACGACCCTCCGACTTCGGGGCCATCGGTTTCGCAATATTTCTTTGGATGATTTTAAAAAGACTTGGGAGGAGGATCTCGCGAGGAGCCGACCTTGAGTCGAGGTGGCACTTCGATGTGTCTGCGGATCGATTTAGAGACGCCGCCTCGACGAGGGGAACGTTTCAGGATTTTCAGCTGTTTTTGGCCAAGCCTTCCACTACCCTGGGGCCGTAGTGCGTGCTGGGCTTGGCCTTTCTTTCTTGGAGAAATTATGAAATATCGATATCGAGTAGCGTCAGTAGCTCGTTTCAACGATGTATAAATTAATCAGCTTAGGATTTTTTCAGCCTCTACGACGGTAGGTGCCTTTTCTTGTGGCCGCGTTCTTTGCTGGCC